AATCATAGCTAAAATTAATTTACCTTAATCAGGATTTTTAAAATTATTAAAATAGTAACTTCTAAAAATGAATTGACAGCTAATCACCTCAAGACAATACAACATTTCTTAATACATAATTTAAAAGCAGTGTAAGGGAGATAATTCAAAGTTGTGTTTAAATTACCTCCCTTACACTGTAATTTGTACTTAAGTAATTGTCTATTCACCAGGACACCCTTGTTTTTTCTCACTTTTTTGCCACTAATTCCTAAACGGTTTGAGCCATAACCCCCCCAAAGCCAATCCTTACCATACCTTTGTGGTATGGAAACTTGTGGTATAATTTCAGAGAGATCCATACACTGTTCCACAAGTTATTGTCATGAAACTAGAAAAATGCTTATTTGGGCCCCTTTTTGGCCCTTAATTCCTAAACTGTGAGACCATAACCCCCAAAATCAATCCCAACCTTCCTTTTGTGGTTATAAACCTTGTTTAAATTTCATAGATTTCTATTTACTAATACTAAAGTTATTGTCCAGAAACCAAATGTCTTTAGACGACGAGGAAGACGTGATACCAATATACGACCACAAAATTTTTTGCGGTCGTATAATAAATTGACAGCTAATCACCTGAAGACAATACAACATTTCTTTATACATAATTTAAAAGCAGTGTAAGGGAGGTAATCCAAACATAACATTGTACTTTTTTTTAATTGTTCAATAAACAGGAAACCCTTGTTTTTTCCCCTTTTTTGCCCTAATTCCTTGTGTTTAAATTTCATAGATTTCTATTTACATTTACTAAAGTTATTGTCTGGAAACCAAATGTCTTCGGACGACGCTGACGAAGACGACGTGATACCAATATTTGACCGCAAATTTTTTTGCGGTCGTATAAAAACTAAACATTGACCAATGAACCATGAAAATGAGGTCAAGGTCAGTTGATACCTGCCAGACAGACATGTTCACCTTACAATCATTCCATAACTGAATATAGCTGACCTGTTGCCTATAGTACTTGAAAAACAGATCAAAACACAAAAACTTAACATTGACAAATGAACCATGAAAATGAGGTCAAGGTCAGATGAAACCTGCCAGACTGACATGTACCCATTACAGTCATTCCATACACCACATATAGTTGACCTGCTGCTTATAGTATTGCAGAAACGGGCCTTATAACGTAACTTTAACCTTGATCACTGATCCATGAAATGAGGACGAGGTCAGATGAACCCTGTATGACGGACATGTAGACGTTGCAAGGAACTCATATACCAAATATGGTTATCCTATTACTCATAATAAGTGAGAAATTCACATGACAAAAAAACTCAATTTTTTTTTCAAGCAGTCATTGAACCATGAAAATGAAGTCAAGGACATATGACAGACGGAAATTTCATAACATAAGGTATCTGCATACAAGATATGAAGCATCCAGGTCTTCTACCTTCTGAAATATAAAGCTTTATACAAATAGTTTTTGCCTCCGCCGCTGCCGAATAGTAATACCCTTCGTCTCGCATACTGCGATTTTCGTCACAGGCGAGACAAAAATGAGACAAGTATCCATCAAAGTCCAAATGACGTGGATGTATGTTGTCTGTGCTTTAAAGATAGAGAGGAGACCTGGAAAATATAACAATCAAGCCAGTGACAATAGGGTTTTAATTGCATTTCATGCAATCTTTACCACAAAAACAAAGACATTTGTAGGAAAAAAAAATTGAACTAGTGATCATGGATAACCCAACCCGCAGCAAAAGTCTTGAACTATAAATGTCCACCATCAAAACGAACTTGACCTATATATCATGATTTAAAACATTGTTTAAATTTTTAAGATGTTTAAGGGGCATAGCTATTGAAGGTAAATGGCAAAAAAAAAAACCCAAAATAATAAATGTGAAAAGAGTATTTATACACTCTCACAACATGAAGCCATGTTCAACTAAAGAAACAGTGAGCTGCAATCTGAAGAATATATGCAACATGTACTTTAATATATTTGCAGTGGCAATCTGAAGTAGTATAAACTGACAACCAGGTTATATATGGCCTGTTGCAGGGCAAAATTTCTGTCCTAATTGGATTACTAGTATCCAACATATGAACATCTTTTCCAGCATCAGTTCACAATTCCTGCCCTTCATCCTGGTCAGAAAAATTTTCAGTTACTACTATAATGTTTAATTTGTTCTCGCACTAGATATACATGAAATATTTGCCACTGAATATTAAGCAGTAAACAATCAATCATTCAAATGATAGAACAGCCATCTAGCAATATATATTCAATACTATTGATATCCTTCTTTAGTAAACTTATTTTTTTTAAATGAATACAAAGCTACATTTCATGGGTTATTGCTAATAGTATTGCAAATTTTCAGTTGTCATGTAAACAGCTTAGCTAGTCACACACAGGAAAAAATCAAACATATATTGTCTTATTTGTTTATTGTTTAGTTTATTTTATAATATTAAAAATAATTACATTGTAATTAACCTGCCTCGATTGGTTAATAAAATTATCTGTATCTGTATGCAACATCAACAAATATATCCAGTGGTAATCTAAAGAAGAATAAACCTACAGGAAGACAGGTTCAATTGCAATATCAAAATCACACAAATATGAAGACACTTTTTGTGGAATAAAAAAAATAAGAAGATGTGGTATGATTGCCAATGAGACAACTCTCCACAAGAGACCAAATGACACAGAAATTAACAACTATAGATCACCATACGGCCTTCAACAAAGTATGATTCTACATGCAGGAATTTTTTGAAAAGTGGTACTTTACATTCCACAATTTATAGCAATTTTCATTGATTTTGAATGGTTTTTAATTTGGCTTAATAGAAGTTTGATACAAAAACAACTGTTATATGCAAAAAAATTTGCATCTGACATTTTCATTCATATCATTTACAATAAAATGGTCAAATTCAAAGTATCAGATAATCTACAAATTTTCTTAAACTTTGTTAAGTGATCAGTATTTAGATTTATAAAAGGTTGATTAAATCTTAATTCTTACAAACTTTAAACCAAACAATGTCATATCCAATGGTGTGTACATTTCATGGCTTGTATATGTATGCACATAACACTGTTCAGTGGTTTTATGCCCCACCTAGGGGCATTAAGTTTTTCGGTCTGTGTGTCCGTTTGTTGGATCGTTCATCCATTCGTCCGTTCGTCTGTCTGTCCCGCTTCAGGTTAAAGTTTTTTGTCAAGGTAGTTTTTGATGAAGTTGAAGTCCAATCAACTAGAAACTTAGTACACATGTTCCCTATGATATAATCTTTCTAATTTTAATGCCAAATTAGAGTTTTGACCCCAATTTCACGGTCCACTGAACATAGAAAATGATAGTGCAAGAAGGGCATTCGTGTACTATGGACACATTCTTGTTTAATGTGTTTTTACAACATATGTTCAAGAAAGGTTTTGTGCATACATAAAACTGGTATAACCCTACCATAATTTTTACGTCTACAAAGACAGGTTCTTTGGACCATGTGATTTTCTTTGTTGTTTGTCCTTGTACATCCATTTTTTAAGATGAGACAGGTGTGGAAGGTTTGTATTGTACTGTCCAATATTTTTGGTTATTCATATTATCCTTTTTATGTATATATTCAAAAAAGGCGATCATGCCTGATGAAGTCACATAGAAAGTACACATCTTTTTGTAGATCATTCGCAGAGAAGGATTAAGTTCGTCTAAAAATTCGTAAGGGTTCCATGGAACCCAGTGTCTCGCCTACTTTTGCTGTTAAACGCAGGCTCAACAAAAATGAGGAAAAAAATTAATAAAATTATTCCTCTCTATACTATCTTTTGATTGTAAGTAGCTTCTGTCCAAGTTTGGTAAAAATCCAGGATAAATTATGAATCTAATAAATGTTTAAAAAACTTAAACTGCAGACTGTATGTAATTTCAACTGGAAGAAAAACTAAGTCCATTTATAAGTAAAATACTGAAAAAATGATTATTTCTTTTTACAAAATTTACTTCTGGATACTATCTTATGATCATAAACAAGCTTCTTTCCAAGTTTGGTAGAAATCCAGGATAGTTTAAGAAAGTTATTAAAATTTCATAAACTTTAACCACAGAGTGAATGTAATGTTTCCTGGCAGAAAAACTAAGTCCATTTATAAGTAGATACGGAAAAAAATGGAATTTTTTTTTTACAAAATTTACTTTTGGATATTATCTTATGATCATAAACAAGCTTCTGTCCAAGTTTGGTAGAAATCCAGGATAGTTTAAGAAAGTTGTTAAAATTTTAAAAACTTTAACTGCAGACTGTACGTAATGTTAACTGGAAGAAAAACTAAGTCCATTTATAAGTAAAATACTGAAAAAATGATTATTTCTTTTTACAAAATTTACTTCTGGATACTATCTTATGATCATAAACAAGCTTCTGTCCAAGTTTGGTAGAAATCCAGGATAGTTTAAGAAAGTAATTAAAATTTCAAAAACTTTAACCACAGAGTGAATGTAATGTTTCCTGGCAGAAAAACTAAGTCCATTTATAAGTAAAATACGGAAAAAATGGAATTTTTTTTTACAAAATTTACTTTTGATATTATCTTATGATCATAAACAAGCTTCTGTCCAAGTTTGGTAGAAATCCAGGATAGTTTAAGAAAGTTATTAAAATTTCAAAAACTTTAACCACAGAGTGAATATTTGTGGACGCCACCGGAATGTATGATCGCTATGTCTCGCTTTTTCGACAAAAGTGGAAGGCTCGACAAAAATCATTAGAGAAACATATTCCACCACCAAATCTTGTGCAATATCATATTCATCCACTCTCGACAGTTAAATTTTAAATATCTAAAATGCTCCACAAGCCTTGCGTTTTAAATTTGAAAATTTAACTGTTTCAAGTTGATAAATATGGTATCACACTCGATGCAGTGGTATGATCTATATGTATAATGATTTAAACTGTATTGAGTAACTATATAAATCCATGTTCCTTAAATCATATCTTTTATTATAAATATCAACAAAAGAATCCCTTCTTTTTGGTTAGAAGGACATTATCATATTTTACTTTTCTCTTATAAATTGTATATATCACTTGTAAGCTACTAATGCAAAATTCCTTGGTGAAAGACTTGGATCAAATACTGGAATCAAATAACTAGATATACCTGAAATAAAAGATAAACAGAAATTTAAACATGATGGAAGGCTCAAAACTTAGGATTATAAACAATATTTTAGAAATTTCACAAAAATATGAAAAAGCAAAAAATGTATACATTCAATGTTTAGATCAAGTTTATAATATAACATAATTTAGCCGACGATTTAAATTTTCAATCCAAAATATTATTATGTGTATTGAAAGAAAATTTGTAAATTCCGATATGTAATCTGTTGAGTAATGGGTAATGACAATTGAACTATAGTCATAAAAATCATAGGAACAAAGATATTTCTAAATTATATTGTATATATCTCACTTGGAATAGACATGATATATGGCTCAATGCTGCTGTAAAAAACCTGAAGTATGCAAAATTTCTGGATCTTTTGAAATTCTAACTCTACATAAAACATAAAATGTATCAAGGTTTGCCTTACTTAAAATGTATCAAGGTTTGCCTTACTTAAAATGTATCAAGGTTTGCCTTACTTAAAATGTACCAAGATTTACCTTACTTAAAATGTACCAAGGTTTGCCTTACTTAAAATGTATCAAGGTTTGCCTTAATTTCTGCTTTTCAAATAATTCTACTTTTTCATAAATGTTTTGTAGAAACCTAAAGAAACTCACATCTTCAATTCATCAGCAAAAATACAGCATTTTTGTAAAAGACAAATCATTAATTTATCAATCCTAGCAAGCTGTAGATATGAAATATTAAAAAAAAGATTTACTTCTGGAGTCTATGCTCATTATGATATCAAAACTTAAAATGCAAATAGGCTTACATAATCGACCTCCTAATTACCATCAGTCATAAAATGCTTCGCTGGGGCGCAGCTTGATACGACCGCAGAGGTCGAACCCTGAACAGTTGGGGCAAGTATGGACACAACATTCAAGCTTGATACAGCTCTGAATTTGGATTGTTATTAAATATTTGACACAGCATAGGTTTCTGACACAGAAAGAATGTGGTCTAAGAACTTGAATTTTTTTAATTTACCTATTATGGTCCAATGTCCAAAATCAAAATACATGGTTTGATTCAGCATATCAAAGAACCCCATATATTCAATTTTTGTTAAAATCAAACAAAGTTTAATTTTGGACCCCAACTTGGACAAACTTGAAAACTGGGCCCATAATCAAAAATCTAAACACATGTTTAGATTCAGCATATCAAAGAACCCCAAGAATTCAATTTTTGCTAAAATCAAACTAAGTTTAATTTTGGACCCTTTGGACCTTAATGTAGACCAATTTAAAAAACGGGACTTAAAATTAAAAATCTAAATACACGGTTAGATTTGGAATATCAAAGAACCCCAATAATTCAATTTTTGATGAAATCAAACAAAGTTTAATTTTGGACCCTTTTGACCTCAATATGAACAAATTTGATAGGGGGGCCCCACAAATAAAAATTCTTAATGCATGGTTAGATTCAGCATATCAAAGAACCCCATATATTCAATTTTTGTTGAAATCAAAAAAAGTTTAATTTTGGACCCCAACTTGGACCAACTTGAAAACTGGGCCCATAATCAAAAATCTAAACACATGTTTAGATTCAGCATATCAAAGAACCCCAAGAATTCAATTTTTGTTAAAATCAAACTAAGTTTAATTTTGGACCCTTTGGACCTCAATGAAGACCAATTTAAAAAACGGGACCCAAATTAAAAATCTAAAAACACGGTTAGATTTGGCATATCAAAGAACCCCAATAATTCAATTTTTGATGAAATCAAACAAAGTTTAATTTTGGACCCTTTTGATCTCAATATGAACCAATTTGATAGCGGGGCCTACAAATAAAAAATCTAAATACATGGTTAGATTCAGCATATCAAAGAACCTCATATATTCAATTTTTGTTGAAATCAAACAAAGTTTAATTTTGGACCCCAATTTGGACCAACTTGAAAACTGGGCCCATAATCAAAAATCTAAATACATGTTTAGATTCAGCATATCAAAGAACCCCATATATTCAATTTTTGTTGAAATCAAACAAAGTTTAAATACTGGACCCTATCTTGGACCAACTTGAAAACTGGGCCCATAATCAAAAATCTAAACACATGTTTAGATTCAGCAAATCAAAGAACCCCAAGAATTCAATTTTTGTTAAAATCAAACTAAGTTTAATTTTGGACCCTTTGGACCTCAATGTAGACCAATTTAAAAAACAGGACCCAAAATTAAAAACCTAAATACACGGTTAGATTTGGAATATCAAAGAACCCCAATAATTCAATTTTAGATGAAATCAAACAAAGTTTAATTTTGGACCCTTTTGACCTCAATATGAACCAATTAGATAACGGGGTCCACAAATAAAAAATCTAAATACATGGTTAGATTCAGCAATTCAAAGAACCCCATATATTCAATTTTTGTTGAAATCAAACAAAGTTTAATTTTGGACCCCAATTTGGACCAACTTGAAAACTGGGCCAAAAATCAAAAATCTAAATACATGTTTAGATTCAGCATATCAAAGAACCTCATATATTCAATTTTTGCTAAAATCAAACAAAGTTTAATTTTGGACCCTTTGGACATTAATGTAGACCAATTTGAAAACTGGACCCAAAATTAAAAATCTAAATACACTGTTAGATTCGGCATAACAAATAAATAAATGTGATCAAAGATTTTACAAATCTAATGCGCCATACTGTGCAATTAAAGATTACTTCTTGAAATTTTTCAATATTTGAAATTTGAAAAAAAAATAATATTTGAAGAACAATTCTTTTTAATTTCTGAAATCTGAAATGAGAAAAAGTTGGCCCCCCACAATTTCTTTTTATTCCCCCCCCCCCCCCCCCCCCTTTTTCCCCCAAAAAAATTCTTTCCCTCAAGATATGGTCATAATCTCAATTCAAATTTCCAATGGAGTTGGCAACCATAATTACCCATTTAAATTTACCATAGTGCTAACTTAATCTATTTTATAATAGAATTAATAAAAATATAGTGTCAAATCTTTCATATGGATTTTTTTGTAAAAAAAAAAGATGAAAACATTTGCAGATATTTTTACTGGTCTTCCTTTATAAATATGCATTTCTTTAAACATAATTTAAAAGCAGTGTAAGGGAAGTAACCAAAACGTTGTATTTGGATTACCTCCCTTACACTGTTTTAGATTATCTTTATTGTTCATTAACCATTACTTTATACATAATTTAAAAGCAGTGTAAGGGAGATAATTTCAATGATGTATTTGATTTATCTCCCTTACACTGCTTTAAATTATGTTTTGTACTAAAGTATTTGTCCATTAACCAGGACAACCTTGTTTTTCCCCCTTTTTTGCCCCTAATTCCTAAACGGTTTGAGCCATAACCCCCCAAAGCAAATCCTAACCATCCCTTTGTGGTATGGAAACTTGTAGTATAATTTCAGAGAGATCCATACACCGTTCCACAGTTATTGTCTGGAAACTAGAAAATGCTCATTTTTGGCCCCTTTTTGGCCCCTAATTCCTTAACTGTTGGTACCATAACCCCCAAAATCAATCCCAACCTTCCTTTTGTGGTATTTAACCTTATGGTCAAATTTCAAAAAGATCCATTCACTTAAACTAAAGTTAGAGTGCGAAAACCAATATGTATTCGGACGACGACGCTGGACGACGACGACGACGACGACGACGCCAACGTCATACCAATATACGACCACAAAATTTTTTGGCGGTCGTATAAAAACTTGGGTTCATGTAGGACCCATATTTCAGAGAAAGGATGAAAATGGAAATGTGAAATATAATGCCAATCTACTAACCTTGTTCTTTAAGATAAAACATCCTGTCCAACAGAATAACAGTTTCTACCACAGGTGCTAGTGCCAATCTAATTGTATAAAAAGCTACCACATCTTTCCAGTTTGATAATTTACAAAGTAGTGTCTTCAATATGTCTGAATCAATTTCACAATCTAATCCCAGCTTAGCTAATGCAATTTTTGCATATCTGAAAATTCAAATTATTGTGTATTATCTATGAAGATTATTCTATGAATCATTATAAACTAATTAAATATTCCCATAATATCAATTGACATTTAAATGATCTAAGCTACTTAAAAACTCAAAAAACTTATTATTAATGTCAGCTTAAAGCTGTTGCTCTTTTTTTTCCATTGTTCTTGGCTAGCCTTGCAAGAAATTCTCACCTTTCAAAATCCATTTGTTCTGCTTTCTTTATGGTAAGCTTAGTGGCACCAAACACAAAATCAGGTTTTTTATGTAGAATTATTTCCTGAAGCAAAGCTCTGTAACAGTGTAACTTCAAATTTGGTGGGTTATCTGAAAGCAGATGCAAACCTTACATTATGTTAGTTTCTAGATATAAAAAGAAAATTCCTAGATGGTTACAAGAAGTATTTAGCATTTAGTGGTAGTGTAATTGGTTTCATTTTTACATTGAAGTTTTATACTCTGAGATCATTTTATTTCAATGATACCAGTTTATTTTTGGTTTGAGAAGCATATATTTTGCAATCTTTGCACATAACTAGCATTAAGCTGATCATTTTTAAAATGCAATCTCACTAGGAAGCTATTAAACCAAGAGTTCCAAGTGGTGAAGTTAAAATCATCCCTTTTGTAAATTTTACAGACACCATCACGAGTTGACCATTATAGAACATCTGTTTTACAGATGACAACAGACATGTTCCAATTGTCATTATTACAATCCCGTCCCCTTTTCCCCGAATATGACCTACCGAATTAGACTTATCACCGGGTTTGTACTTACATGAGCAACACGATGGGTGCCACATATGGAGCAGAATCTGCTTACCCTTCTGGAGCACCTGAGATCACTCCAAGTTTTTGGTTGGGTTCGTGTTGCTGCTCAGTCTTTAGTTTTCTATGTGGTTTGTCTGTTGGTCTTTTTCTTTTTTAGCAATGGCATTGTCAGTTAATTTTCGACTAACATAAAAAAAAACACAAGTAGGACAACCATTTGACTTTCAGAAAGAGGAAGGGGCTTGAAAGATCTTGTTGGATACATTTTCATGTAAATACAAAATATCATTTTTAACATCAGAGAATCTAAAATGCCTATCACAAAACAATGTTTGTAATAAAAGGATGTTCTTGAGGCAAATGGCAACAAATTATTCATTTTTCTCTGATTTTGAATCATATCAGTTTATACAAAGACTTGTACTCTATCATAATCCTGTTTAATAAAATGATTGCAATAAAATATTTTAAAGCATTTCATGACATGTGATTGTGTTTTATCATCTGTGTATATCAACTGTCTGTTTGATGTTATAGGCATATAAATCAAGATGTCTGTCAGCTATTGCACACTAATGATACCCCTGCTATATGTATTATGTAAATAGGAAGTTGATGAGCCATGGATGTGAAAACACATCACTATGAATAGCAGTATCAGATGAGCTTGTCACCATATTACAATAAGCTCTGATTCGTAGTACCTTAGAAAAAATTTAAGACATGCTCGGATCGGGGGTATAAATATAAAAAGAAGATGTGGTATGATTGCAAATGAGAGAACTCTCCACAAGAGACCAAATGACACAGAAATTAACAACTATAGGTCACTGTTTGGCCTTCAACAATGAGCAAAGCCCATACCGCATAGTTAGCTATAAAAGGCCCTGAAATGAAAAATGTAAAACAATTCAAATGAGAAAAATAACGGCCTAATTCATGTACAAAATAATGAACGAAAACAAATATATTACACAGTAACAAACGACAACCACTGAATTACAGGCTCTTGACTTGGGACAGGCACATACAGAACGTGGCAGGGTTTAACTCCTTATAACATTTTCAATTTTTCTGGTTAAATGGCTTAAAATGTGTATTTAAGAAACATTTAAACACATCCCACCTCAAAAAACCAACTTAAGAAGTAATTTCTTAGAATACATAACTGATAACTTCAGAAATCTAGAAAATTTCATTCCAGCATGATCAACCTACCTAACAATCTCTGTCTGTAGACATCTATAGAATGACAAGCCATTTCTCTTGCTTCATAGGTCAGCTGATGATCAGGTAATTCTGATACAAATTTACTTATAGGATAGCCAACATCTTCACTGGTACTACAACAAATATACATTTTGATTCAGTTCAAATAGAACTTTTCAAAAACATCAAACTATTAATAAAAATTTAAAAGTTGCATACCGTTGAATTCATTTATTTTTCGTGAATACCAATATTTGTGGATTGAGGAATAATTGCATTTTTGTTGATATAAGATTTCCTGGTTTTGCCAAGGTCTGCATACCAGCCTATGGTAAATTTGGACTTCATTAGACATTTCAATTGGTGGTTTCATGAAATCAATGAAAATTGGTATCCCAAGAATAATAATGAATCCACAGTATTAGATAGTATGTCATAAAGACTTGCTTCTAAGTGTCTCCAAACCATGAACATTTTTCTTTTTATCTGTTGATTTTCAAAACTGCTTCTTCTAGACAAAAATAAAAGAACACTGTTTCCCAACCCAGGTATAGATAAAAATCAAATATGTTAACAAATTAAAAAAAAATCCTCTCTGCAAATCTAAAATTGACTAAACTAAATCTGAAAAAAATTTCGTTGAATTTATTTTGTGATTTTCATTTATCCAGCAAAATAAACATCCAGCGAAAATAACCCGCTATAGGGTATTAGATTCAACTAAAATAAATAAAGGTTAAAAAGATTACACGTAATTTTAACTTTCAGTCATACTTTTCTTTTGTGGACATTTTCATATAACAACAACCAACAGAAGCCACTCCACGAATATCATCACATCTGGCAAATACTCTTAAGATAGTAGGAGTTAGGTCTCCACAGGCATGCAACCCTGTCAATAGCAACCTCTTGTCTTCATGAGAAATCTCTCTCTTCTTGAAACATTTTATACATGTCTGCAATCTAAAAAGAGAATCATCTGGCCCATGGTTTGGGCACTGACATAGATTATCTTCATTTGAAATACTAGCCTCAGAGTTGATGACTTGAAGGAAATCACCAGGTGTGGTATTTGGTTGGATCATGCAAGTCACATGATTAGGAAGAGGAATGCTGTCAACAGCACATGTTTCATCAGTAGTGTCTATCATCTTGCTTTCTTTCAACTTTCTCTGCAATAACATAAAAAGTCATTACTAATTATGAGGTTTTCCCCTTGTACTTCACATATATTGAGGAGAAACCTTTTAACTTATCTTAAGATTTTCGATACTTCTTGAACATATGCAAAATGAAAAACATGTCATATTTAGTATCTCTGATTTAACAGTTAACGACTTTTTCTTCATGCAAATGTTGTATGAGCTCATATTTTTTAGAAGGGCTTGTTCAGAAAAAACAATGGCAATTCAGTACTGTCAAATATTCCTTAATTAAAAATGACATAGTCAAACTGAATGGATAAAAATGGGAACTTTCATATCAACATGTAGTGTTTTTTAAAGGATATGTTTATAATTGGATAAACATGTTATTGAGGAATACCAGATATCTCTTCAATTCACTTCATACTTATAGAAACTTTTTATGGTACACTTTTAGTTATCTTTACACTTGTAATTATCATACAACTGAACAACATGTCTTTAGTCATCATTATATTTCCTATGGGAGTACAGCAAATAAAGCAGAGATCGCGCTGGGCTGTGCTAATTTTGCAAAATTAAATGTGAAGTAAATTACATCTGGTGACAAATTATGGCTGCTTTTTTCCCATTGTCAAAATTTTCATTCTTGACTGCAATGGCAAAAAATTTGTAAATGGTTCCATGGAATCGTGTGTCTCACCTGTTATTGCTGCCGTTATAGTAAGAGTATAATGTTGACTACCAAAAACTAAGTCCAGTTATAAGTAAAATACGGAAATATGAAAATTTTGCTATGTATACTGTCTTTTGATCATAAAACGGCTTCTGCCAAGGTTTCATATAATTTCATGAAGGTTTGACAAAGTAATTGATGTTAAATTTTTTTTTAATACAGAGGGAACTTAAATATTGACAACAAAATCATTATCAGGAACTAATACATGTAAGTTTTAGTGTCTGCAAGCATGTGCTGAGAATTACCTCAACATGTTATTTTGTGTATGGCTTCCATTTCCTTTGATGTAAATAAAACACCTTAAATATCGCTGATAGACCCAAATGGCTAAGTAAACAAATTTTTAACAGATTGCCCAAAATATGAAATCATTAGTCAATCGTCTTTATAACCCCCTAGGGACAATTGAAAATAATTACTAGTAACTTAAAGGAAGTAATAGTTTTATATTCTATTCCTTAAAAAATCCTAAAAGAGTGATCAGAATAAATCTACCTGATGTTTGATTACTGTGGATTCATTATTATTCGTTGGATACCAATTTTCGTGGGTTTCGTGGGTACAGGTGAACCACGAATTCAAATGTTCAACGAATTACCAATGTTAATTTGGCTTTGTATGTAGAGATTGGCAAAACCACGAAATCAAATATCCACGAAAATGCAAGTGTTCCTCAATCCACGAAAATTGATACCCACGAAAATAAATGAATCCACAGTACCTTTTAAAGCAACAGTGAGAAGAACCCATGACATATATATAGTAAGCATTAAAAGGCCCTGAGTCCATGACATGACAAAATATTAATAAATTCAAATGAGAAAACAAACAGCCTGATTTATGTTCATAACAAATAAACAAAAAACAAACATAATTGACAGCAACCAAAGATAACCACTGATTAACAGGTATCGACAGGGTTAAACATCAGTGTTCCAGCTTGAATCTCAGGGCAGAAGGGTGCTAGTTGTCTGAAAGGGCACTTTAGCGTTATAACCCAGATTTTAAGGGCAATGTTGGACAGTGTATAAATTACCTTGAATATTGCTAGGCTCAGCTGGAGAACATTAGTTGTATTTTTAAACCATATTCAGAAATTAATGTGTTCTTGATGTTGGTTCCAGTAAGAATTTTTTTTCATCAAATTATCATACCATGAAGCAAAGCATATCATTTTGATGTTAATCTAAACAAACTTGTACATTTGGTATGGAAAATAATCATCAGAAATTTCAATGTTTTATAACTTATACCAAAATAAACAAGAAGTTTTGAAAGTTGGAGTTATACATGCAAAATTGAATGTTGAATGTAATTAAATTATCTACATTTAAATTACTTGTTCAAACATATAGTATATATGTTATTGAGAGTTATTTATTATCATTTGAATTGTTACAAAAAAGTATTTTTTAAGTGCACACCAAAGTGCTCCTCAGTAAGGAGTTTTATAAATATAACAGGTGAGACAGGAGATGATCATATTTTATATTGATGCAATAATATATTGCAGAAGGTATAAACAGTTTCTTTTTTCTCCATCATTGTTAAAAATAAATTTGTTGAGTGCTCCTATGTCAGGAGGATTATGAAATACAAGAAGTATTAAAAACAGGAAGTGAATCTTGTTATGTTCAAGATACAAATTTCTTTGATTCCTCTTTAAATTTCATACTCATGGTTATGAAACAAAACATTTTTTACCAATTAAGTCAAAACTATGTATGCCTTTAAAATTGTTTAAGATTTTATTTTTTATGTTATGCCTACTGAAATAATTTTTTTCAGGTGTACATGCTGTACATAAACATTACAAATGGATAACATGTGGACATTTCATTCTGTATTAAATATCTAGTATTTGTTCAATTATCTTAAATCCACTAATTAGCAGTAAACAATCATTAACAAAGGTGATAAAACTGCCAAAGCACTAGGTATTTAACTTAATCCCATTGTCAGTTAATTAGTGTTACACAATCAGGTAACAATTTTACCGGAAACGCCGGTAGGCATGAAATTTTGAAATTTTATTTTTTTGAAAAGGCAGAGGGGTGCATTCTTTTACTTTGGAGGGCAGAAGGGCGGGGGTAAGGGCATCAAGGGCGGGCCGCCTATCTATTTAGGGCAGGCGGGAACACAGAACATGTTTGTGAGCACTCATCCCGACCCGATTGCTTGTTTTTAAGTTAGAAAGGCTTTTCAAAAGGTTAATTATGATAAATGAAGTCTTTATTTAAAAATTTGATTTATATTTGATTTCATATGAAGGAATAGCAAAATACGATGCAAATTTGAATATTTCTTAACTGGCAACAAAAAATTGACACTTGGTTTTTCTAGCAAGACATATTTTGGAGGCCCGCACAATTTTTGATAAGCTGAGGGAAAAAAAATGTTTAACTTATAATTTTACTGAAGTAAGAATATGTATACATAAATTTACCTACCTTTAAATGAGACCTAATAGTATAAGACATATCCCTAGAAAAGAATGTAAATAAAAGATCATAAATTATCAGGTAAATACATCAAGTCATTGATATTTCATAAAATTGGGTTAAATTAATAAGGTTAACAATACTTCAATCAATTTGGATTGTTCCATAACACACATACAATTATACATGACACCTAGGCAAGGTACTCTTAAACTGTATATGTATGTGTGGGTGAATAACCACTTTTCTAATTAAAAATGCTTGAGAACCACAAAGTGTATTCTACAGAAAGGTTAACAGGGGAATTAAGTGTATCGTAGGAGGGACATTAAAAACTAATAAAAAAAATTCCAAACCTGAAGACTAATTAAATGATAAAATGCTTCGCTGAGCGCAGAGGTCTAACCCTTAACAGTTGGGGCAAGTTTGGACACAATATTCAAGCTTGATACTGTCTGAATTTGGATTGTGATCAAATTTTTGACATAATATAGGTTTCTGACACAAAATAAATGTGGTCAAAGATCTTAAAAATTTAAAAAGGGACATTTAATTTACCTAGAATGGTATGATATCCAAAATCTAACAACATGGTTAGATTCAGCATATAAAAAAACACCAAAAATTTAATTTTAGTTGAAATCAAACAAAGGAGAAGGTCCGGTAAGGGCTAATTTCGGCCTAAAATTCGAAGTACATCTGATGAAAGATTTTTGACATTTTTTTAACACTTAAGTATCTACTTCATTCGATTCAATTGGTTGTTGTAAAAGATTTGGACTGACTTGGTCATTAAAAACGCTCAGATTGAAGCTTAAATATGCAAAATCTATCAAATATACCATTTAACGTCACTTTTCAGATGATTTTTGTCTGAAATGGAAGTGGCCGCCTTCGTGTTCACTCTCAGCATTTATATATATTATGTATTATCATTTAATACAACATATATTTAAATATTAAGAATGAACACAAGTGCGGCCACTTCCATTTTAGACAAAAACCGTCTTAAAATTAGCACAAATGTTTAAATTGTGAAGATATCAGTATTTTTGCATGAAATAATAATGTTAGTACCTGATGCATGTCCATTGTATTATCAAAAACAGCCCATATTTATATAACAAAAGCATGTTACTTTCCAATAAATAAGTAAAAATTAACAATTTAACAACTTTGTAAAAACGCTATATTTTGGGGCCAAAAAGGGGTCTTACTGGGCCTACTCCTTTAATTTTAGACCCTTCAAACCTTAATATGGACTAATTTGAAAACAGGGCCCAAAATAAAAAATCTAAATGCACAATAAGATTCAGCATATCATACAGCTGCAATAATATAGTTTTTGATGAAATCAAACAAAGTTTAATCTTGGACCCTTTTGACCTCAATGTAGACCAATTTAAAAATGGGCCCAATATCCAAAAAAGTAATACAATGTTAGAACCACCAAAAATTAAAGACTTTAAATTAATCCCATTGAAATTGGTAAAAAGATTTGTATTTATTTTCAATTGAAGATTTCTTGCTATTGCACAATACTGTGCAATTTAAGATTTCTCGTATTGTGCAATACTGTGCTATTGCCCAATACAGTGCAATTAAAGATTTCTTGCTATTGCGCAATACTGTGCAATTGAAGATTTCTAGCTATTGCCCAATACAGTGCAATTGAAGATTTCTTGCTATTGCCCAATACAGTGCAATTGAAGATTTCTTGCTATTGCGCAATACTGTGCTATTGTGCAATACTGTGCTATTGCGCAATACTGTGCAATTGAAGATTTCTTGCTATTGCGCAATACTGTGCTATTGAAGATTTCTTGCTATTGCGCAATACTGTGCAATTGGAGATTTCTTGCTATTGCGCAATACTGTGCAACTGAAGATTTTTTGCTAGAGCGCAATACTGTGCAATTGAAGATTTCTTGCTATTGCCCAATACAGTGCAATTGAAGATTTCTTGCTATTGCCCAATACAGTGCAATTAAAGAATTCTTGCTATTGCATAATACTGTGCAATCATTTGAAATTTCAAAAATTTTGAATAAAAAAAATATGAATCCTCAAAAAAAATTGGAAAAAAAAATCCCCCTAAACTTTTTGAACCCCCTCCCCCTTGGAGTAATTACCCCCAAATTAATCCCAGCCTTCCCTTTATGGTATGGAACCTTGAAGTACAATTTTAGAGAGATCCATACACTTAAACACAAGTTACCGCCTGGAAACTAGAATAATGCTTGTTTTTGGCCCTTTTTTGCCCCTAATTCTTGAACCATTGGGTCAATTACCCCCAAACTCAATCCCAGCCTTATCTTTGTGATATGGAACCTTGTGGTACAATTTCTGAGAGATCTATACACTAACACACAAGTTATTGTCCGGAAACTACAAAAATGCTTGTTTTTGGCCCCTAATTCCTAAACTGTTGGTACCATAACCCCCAAAATCAATCCCAACAACCTTCCTTTTGTGGTATTTAACCTTCTGGTAAAATTTCTTAGAGATCCATTCACTTTAACTAAAGTTATTGTCCGGAAACCAAATGTGTCTTCGGACGACGACGACACCATAGCATTATACGACGCAAAAATTGTTTTGCAGTCGTATAAAAATGCAAATACCGGCATAAGAAATCATTCTTTGTATCTGTTAAAACATCCAACAAACTGACTTGGCATGCAAATATTTAAATATTTAAATTCAATATCTTAAAGCTTCTATGATGGTCATGATTGGTTCTATACAGCTAATTTCCTTTTTAATATAGAAATAAAGTTGTTTTTGTAAATAAAAAAAGTCTTTATGGTATTCTTTATATTAAGTGATTTCTTTGAGGAAATTTGTTTTCAAGACAAAAGTTACAAACCAAAATGTGTGTTGCATAATATAGAATGTATAAAAGTAATTGTGCCAGAATAGTATATCTGTAATAAAGAATCAATTAGCATTTATACATCATCTTCTCTATCCATTAGTACATAAGAAACCTTACTTGTCAAACTTTTCAGCCTTAGGAGCATGACATCCTGATGCTTCCACTGTAGTGACCTTCAGACTGTGACCAAAGGTTAAAATTCGTGAAAGGTGACCTTGACCTGCTCCAACATCTACAACATGTTTACTACCAGATGCTTGACTTAGAAGAGAGATCAGCTTGAAATCAAAAAGATTTTTTATTATATTATCTGAATGACATTTAATTAAGTCTATACTCAGTAATGACACAGTTTTTCAAAACCACAATTGTACATTTACAAAAATAATCTGTTAAAATAGATTATTTGAAATATACATGCAAATGCATATTGTGTTATTTTCATTACAGGTATTTATCAAGAGATAAGAAGTTTGTTACACTAATTTCTAAAAAACAGTTATCCTTTGCAGCATAGTGATATTTGTTTTTTTTTAAAAAAATATCCTGTATACACAAATCTAAAGTTTCCACTCATCAATTTTCAGAGTACTATACATAGTCCTTATAATGTAACAATTTCTGAAATTTGTTCATGGTCACAGGAACTTTCAACATACAAATATTGTCTTAGTGTGAATGTGAATATAAGGATTACAAGTTATGTCTGTTCAGGTTAAAAAATTAAGAGGAAAATATTTTTATAAAATGGACTATCCATTTAAGGATCATACTTTTTTTTTCTTTTTTTTTTTTTACAATTTTTAGATTACATTGTCTGAACTTTTGTACATATATGTGCAGTCTTCTTGATGTATTTTTTTTTCTTTCTTAAATTCCCTGGTCTAGCCTCATACATATACAGATAATGGGTGTGTTTCAGTGACATAGACAATCAGAAGAAAAATAAACTGAGGTTAGAACAGGAGGAATGTATTTGCATAGAAACATTTTTACCTATTTTATAAAAACTCTTAAAGCCTGCTGTTCACATCATTTCCTATATTAAGATAGCATTACATGGTAACATTTTGTTTTTGTTTTCATTATTACTATATACCAGAATGGTTTCTTGTTAACTTATAATCAATAGCTTCCCTGCCAAACATTGAAGAGTTTCATTTGTAAGTGTTTGCAAGGACAATAATTTTTTGCCCCTAGATTTCCCGCTCGACAGTAGCTTAAAGGAGACATGACATGATTTTTTTTTTTTTTTTTTTTTTTAAATTAATAAATATTAGTCTTAAAACATGTTTTGTACAATTTTGCTGGTCAAAACCTGATAAATCAGCATTTTTCTGGTCAAAGAATCTAGCGCTTGTCATAATGACTGGATTTTAATGAGATAACGATCACGTGATCGTGCTTATGTCAGTGGTTACAAGCTGGGAAAATGTCTCTTAACTGGACGATGTCGATACACTATGGACGGTATTGACAGCAGTTTTCCCGATTACTGACAAATTATAAAGACATTGTGTGTGAAAAATAACCAAGAAAAGGATATTAATTCTTCATGCAAAGAGTCCAAAAAGGACGATTTTTCAGACAATACCGATCGGATTGTTACCATACATATTTGGTTTGTCTGATGAATAAATTTAATAGACCGCTTTCTGTATTTTTTTCATTTAAATAAAACTAGTTTTTAATCATGATTGAAAATATAAATTTCTAATTATTGATGATCAAATTGTTCTTTTTTTTTCTCTCTGTTACGGTAATGTTATAATTATGTGTGCGCCAGAAGCAGAAAAAAAAAACGATAGTAAAAGTCAAATAAGCGTTCGCAAAGTGTCCGTTTTTATTTTTTTTTAATACATAGAGACTTTTAATATGTATAAATTATCACCAAAAGTTATGCTTATAATTTTTTTGATTGGAAACCATACATCACACAAGGGATTTGTACAGTGAAAATCCTTTATCACACTATTTCTGCATTAGGATATTCAATTAACAATTTTATTACTTTCCCCCTTTTATGACAATTCAATTCAATATTTTATTTACGTCTCATCGGTGTGTTCACCTAATGTATAAAATTACACAGTACAAAACATTTATTGGAGGCTGTTGTTTTAGTGATTAAATGTTGACACCTATAGCATACTTGGGTTTACTCCTGGTTTGCCCAGGTGAAAGGTAAGAAGGCACCTGTAGTGTGATTTAGTCATGTGTTATGTTATTTACCTTTTAAAATCATACATTTCTAAGAAAATCTATCTTATGTTGAAATAATTAATATAGTTATACTACACTTCTAAAGTATGCTATTCCATCCAGACCCTTATAAATCTAACTTCAAATTTAAGGAATTACACAGAGTAAATTCAAATTCACTTATTTCCACCCCTCTCTTCCAAATATCATTTAGCAATCAATTTGTTTATTGCTACCAGCAAAACGCTTGAGTCCAGGAAAATATTTGCAACACATAATGTTCTTTTTCAAAATATTTTTTTCTAAGAGGGGTCATTTGAATAAATGTTAGATTTTCAATTGGACTTAGCAGGAAAATGTTCACATGTAACATACTTCAGTCTTCAAGAACATGAGTTGTGTATTAGCTGTACTTGGCTTTGTTTGATCTAGCTAACAGTATTTGTGCGTTGTCTCTATTGTTTTAACGTTAGTGGTTTCTCTACTTCGTACCGATCTTTTGGTCCGAGTACACAGTTATTTCGTAGTGCATTTCTTTTAGACACATAAATGAAGATTTAAAAAATCCCACCTGCGCTTTCTCAATAATTTTTTTACAGTGTGTTGTACTACTTTTGAGACAAATTATATCAAAATTATAGAAAACTTCATCGGCTCTAACTCAAAATATGGACAATTTTATGTTAAGGGGGTCTTGAAATCTTTTGACAGCTTCCGAAGTGCTAATTTTTAACATTTTTCAGCTGGACCAAATCACTACTTTACTTTAAAATCATGACCCAAATTTTTTTACAGTGTCATTTCACCCCCCCCCCCCCCCCCCCCCTTTACTTGCTATTTGAGTCATAAAACATGGAGAAATAAATTTGGAAGGGGTATAAAAATAATTGGCAAGTAATACACTGTCCACACTAGGGACGAAAATCAAAGGACGATAACTGTGTACTCGGACCTTTTGCGTTAGACTGGTTTTTATAGTTCTTATGTACTGCTGTAAGACTACTGTCACAGGTTGGGAGGGGGAGAGGGTACCGTAGGCGCTCACAAACATATACCACCGACACATTTTGAATGTGCCTGTCCTAAATCAGGAGCATATAGATCAGTGGTTGTCGCGTTGATTCATGTCTGTCAATTTTTTTCTATGGAAATTATTTTGTTATAAATAAGTTAGTTTTCTCGTTAAAATTGTTTCACATTTTCACGTTTAGAACTTTTATAGCCAAATATACGGTATGGAGTTTCTCATTATTGGAGGCCGTACGGTAAACAACACTTTCTTCATTTATTATAAAGTTTCCATTTTAAAAAGAAATGTTTTTCATCATCTGAATCTTTACCAACTAAATAGTTGTCAATGATTATATTAGATGTTCAATATAAAAAAAATTGAGAATGGAAATAGGGAATGTGTCAGAAAAAGAATGTAAAAGACTTATGATTCACATTCTCGTATCATTTCCTTGTTTGCTTTTTATGCTTTTTGTCTAACAATTTCTTATGAAGTTATAGACTTGCAAGCATACAAGAATATTACTTTTCCATCTCAAGAATTCAATTAAAAAATGCATCTGTTATAAACCTTTTTATATCTGCATATTCTTAAAAGCAATAAAAATAAGATCTATATACAGGTTGTCTATTAGTTATCAACATGGGTTAGGGTATTTCATTGATAGTGCATAGGGTATTGTATGGTCGTACTACAGGTATTCATTAAACATATATGATCAGGTAGTTGTACCTGTTTTACTGTACAAAACAATAATATATTCCAAACTCTCCTGTGCCCTCGGCAAAACCAACATCCAGGATGTACACAAAGAGCTTATGAAGTAATATTGCGTAATCACTATATGTCTTATCAATCCCCCATGTGGAGTGACACCTGAAGTTTGCAACTTCAAACGAGACCTGAAATTGCGAAACTCAATCATCTGTACCGTATACCTGTGACCTATGATGAACTCATGGCATGGCACCCGAGACCCCAACTCTGAATTCCCTATGAAAGTGGGCGGAAAGAAGTGTAGTTTAGGGCTTGTTAAAAAGTCCCATCTTTACACCTTCTAAGTCTGCGTGTCATTCAAAAAACAGAAAATATCATGTCAATATTCTTTTTAATTATATTGTTGAATCCATCGGCATCGCACAAAATAATTGTTTATCACTGTCATGCGTTTTGTTGGATAATAATGGAAACTATATTTGTGCTGTACCCATATGTCAATATGAATGAATGTAACCACTGACATAGTAGCCTCGTTCTGAGTGACTTCCGGGATGGAAATATGCATATTTGACAGGTCGATAAATCGTTGCATTTAAATCTCATTAAAATACATATTTTCCTAAATAGTTGACACTTATATTGCTATCGATGTATTTTTGGGGAAAGTTAAGTATAAATAAGCATTTTGAAACACAAATTGAAAATCGTGTCATGTCTCCTTTAAAGATATGATAGTATAGCTACTTAGTGGTTTTAACAACATTTGATACAAAAGATCAAAGATACAGCGTGGCTATAAACATTAAATTTTGGTTGTCAACATACCATTTAGAAAAATAAACTGCTGGTCAGGTTCCATTTAGGATTGCTGAAAAATGCTCAAAAAATTATTGAAGAAATTTTTTGCAAGGGAAAATCAAAATTTTCATAATCCTGGATCCACACATGAGTTTTGCATTTAAATGTCAATGAAAAATAAAGAATTATATGTAAATAGTAGTAAGTATATCAAAGGTAAGCTAAATCAACTTTCTGAACTAGTTCAAACAGTTTTTTACCTTTCCCAGCTGAAGAATTTCGTGTTGTTTTTTTGGTTTTACATGTTTACGGAAAAATTGATTCAATGGAAGATACTGTCCATCCTTAACACTGTGTTTGGACTTCATAGAATCTGAGACCTCCAACTGAACTGGAACTGGTATATTCTGATTTGATTCCATGACATCACATCCAGCGCTACCATTATCTTTAAATTTTTGCTTTATTTTGTCACTGTCAAGATCCACAGGATAGCGGCCTAAAGAGTATGTTTGTGTACAGGATTTGAAGCAAAGAAGGCTGAGAGGTAATACTCTTCTGTAAATTAAAGAAGAATTGGTATCAGAAAAATACACTTCTGCAAAATAAAAAAAAGATTTTCAATTGTTTCACATTTTGTCATAGCTGACTATACAGTTTTGGCTTTGCTCATTGTTGAAGGCTGTATTTTGACTTCTATTCATACTGGTGTAAAACAAATTAAGGGGATATTTTGGCCCTACATCTTTGTATTGTGGAGTATTTCAGTAAAATTAATTCAATATTAGTGTTAAATTTCATGATAAAATTTGGAATAAATACATAAAAAGTATGTGTTTCATACTTAATACAAAGAAAACTCTAAAATGTTGTTGAAAATGTGCCCCCTCTCCCATTATAGTTATAGTTTGCAGGGAACTCACCCTTCAGATTTTGGAAAAATTTAATGATATCTCCTTTCAAATTCAAAAGGTAGTGCAACTGAAGGCAACAACTCTGACATAATACAAACATCAAGTATCTGTCTTCCATTTCATTTGAAATATTTTGTAACCTATTCAATGGGTAATTTTGTGCAATGTTCTATTTTTCAAATTTTTTGTCCTAAGATTTAATACAATGTATTTATAATCAACAGGACATTGAACAATTCTCTTTATAAGTTTTAAAACTAATCAAAGATATGTAAAGGTATATAAGATTACCAACTTATTTTTATAGTTCACTTATTTGTCCTTTGGTCTTACATGGATAGTCGTCTCATTAGCATTCATACCAGATCTCCTTAATTTTATAAATGAGAACATGCATGGCTTATTCACAATGTACATGGATGGAAATGACAAAAAATTTAAATACTTGTGTGCAACTTAAAGAGCAAACTTATGTAAGAATGAAATTATTTTTTTCTCTAAAAAACATTCCTGCAACTTATAATCCAGTTTAATTTTATAAATTCTAAAAGCTATGATTTTTGCTTTTTGTTCATTTTTGAAAACCACAAGGTGACCTATAGGACTTTCTAGAAACTCACTTCATAAAGCCTAAATCTGATTTTTAAAATCACAATTAAATATGAATTATTTCCCTTGTTGGCAATTATACTGGTATATAAACACTGTTTCACTCCAGTGCAGAATAAATGTCAGAAGGAAAATAGAAAACAATGAGTTACTTTAATTTACAAACATTTCAAACTTTATAATAGAGTTTGGTTATGAGTATGTTGGAAGACAAAATACTATTAGTAACTTTTCTATTGATACATTTTATATAAACCAAATATTATCTTAACATCAGCAGGGATTAAAAACTGCTAATTATTGACTCTTCATTGAGCTTCATTGCCACAAAAGCAGTTCTACTTCTTGAAAAGGGAGATAACCAACTTCAAATTATAGTTTCAGAGTAAAATTCTTGATTCTGCAAATGAGTTTTTGGAAAGGGCTATAGTTGTTCACATCCTGGTACTTTGGGTCTGGTGGATAGTTGTCTCATTTAAAATCCTACTATATTTTATTATTTTTTTATATTAAGAAAAAAAATAGTGTCAAGTTGGAAAAAAAAAACCCACTGATAATTGTAAACTTATATTGGTGGAATTGTTGAACATCTAATATCTGTGTATTTACCTGCAATGCTTAGAAGTAACCGATAAAAGATCTGACAATTCATCTGTATCCATACAACATAGCACATCTTTCCAGGAATTTGGTAGTTTCTTCCAATGATCTTCAACAAAAAAATTCTGAAAAATATATGTAAATAAACAAATTTTTGTACCCACTTTTTACATAGTAAATGGTTAATGCAATTTTAAAATTAGGCCTCCACAGTTTGATTTATATAATATATATATGTTTTACATAACTGTGGACAATTTACTTTCCCGTTTTAACATACTATGTCATATATCTGATACTTTATAAACTTTTAACTGTTTTGCTTACTACATCAACAACATTATATAGTCATGAAATCAATATAGAGTTTTTGCAAACTTAAATTTTCATTACAGCAAATGTTATGCAATATATATACAATGTTGGCTGGTAATTTGTTGGTCCTGTACATGTAAGTTCTTTCATTTAACACTATCTTAACAGAAGGAACCGACAAATGAAATTACCCCACTTGAGGCCAAATTGGGGGTACCTATTCAGGAATTTAAATAGCCTGCTTTTTTTAAAAATAGAAAAATATGTTTTATCTTAAAAATAAAATTCCTTTTCAAAACAATAGTTTCTCAAAACATTTAATGTATATATTTATGTTATGAACATTGTGAAATACTGTTGCCGAAACCACTATGGACGAACTGGTAATATTGCCAAAACCAACTTTATAGATGGCTGACTGGTAATATAGCATAAACAACCTGTGGCAGGACTAGTTTTGTTGCCGAAATGTTGAAAGCATCAAATTAGCCTACTATCTTACCTCATATGAAAAGAGGGATGGGTCATCTCACAGTATATTTTTTTTTTATTTTTTGTAAAATTATTTATCAAAATGTACATAAGATTTAAAAGATAACTGAAACCAAGTTGCATAAACCCTGTAAACATTAAGAATCTAGTGGTTTTATTATCATGCACAATCACTGAAAGTCTTTAAGGTGAGAATATGGGACAACTTCCAGAGACAACTCCGACCATGTATAAAGTAAACTAGGAAACAATATTCATAATATTGTCAACCCGGACAAAGTATTAAAAATAAGTTTGATCCATTTAGTGATTATAAATGATTAAATGTTATATTTAACATAAAGTATCCTTCAAATGTTGCTGAATTTGCAAAAAATAAAAAAAAATTGTTGAATGTGAATCCAAATTTCTAGTTATCTTTTTTATTTATTAAAAAAATTAAACACAAGTGAACTGACGCCTGGTAAATCTTCTGTCAGTAGATTCCATAAAGTGGATACCTCGAGTATGCAGGGTCGTTACGATAAAAACATAAAATGTAGAAGGTCCTGTAACAACACTTTAAGGAATGCTCCAGTAATTTATTGAAATCGACATGTTCCAGTGGCTAGGCCACAGTCATCAGGATAGAAAACAATACATAACATCATGCTGAGGTACAAAATCGAGTTGAGAAAATTAAAATGTCACAATGTTGCTATGGTGAGTAATGTTATAAATAGCAATTGAAAGAGAAAGTGAAAGTAAGTATATTTTGGAAGTAAACTATTAAAATAAAATAAAAAGTACAAATTCTTGAATTAATTATTTATTATATATTTTTTTGATATTCTAATCTCATTGCATGTTTATTTTGTATTTTATCTAAAGTCCATCAACAAGTCAACTTGTACATGTTTGACGTCTAAAATTCCACTTCAGACAAAGTATAAACATAGAGTTTGTGCTATTTTTAGAGCTATTCTTAATGCTTGTAGTTAAAAGGTTTGGTTGGCTTGCTTGCTTTGTTTGTATAACATGTATAAATGTTTGCTCAAGCATTGTAACTAAGATTGACATATCCGCATTCAATAGATAGGTGGGGCTTCAGCTTGTACATTATATATAATTATACTTAAATGTTATTGGATGTTAAATATAATACAGAGTATAATGTATATACAAGCTGAAGCCCCGCCTATCTGAATATGTTTTATTTTTTGTTCTTGAATTATTTATTATATATTTTTTTATATTTTAATCTCATTGCATGTTTATTTTGTATTTTACCTAAAGTCCCATCAACAAGTCATGTGGACGTCTAAAACATAGAGTTTATGCTATTTTAGAGCTATTTCCTAATGCTTGTAGTTTAAGGTTTGGTTGGCTTGCTTGCTTTGTTTGTATAAATGTTTGCTCAAGCATTGTAACTAAGATTGACATCCGCTATCAATAGATACTAAGGCTAGGCTTCAGCTTGTACATTATACTTTAATGTTATTGGATGTTAAGTATAATGCAGAGTATAATGTATATATACAAGCTGAAGCCCCGCCTATCTATTGATTGCAGATGTCAATCTTAATTACCATGCTTGAGCAAACATTTATACAAACAAAGCAAGGAAGCCAACCAAACCTTTAAACTACAAGCATTAGGAAAATAGCTCTAAAATGATTAAATTTGCAAATGAAGTGCTGTGTCCAAAATAACTGATTTAATGTAAAATCGACTTTCTTCTTCATGGTGATTCTATATTTGAAATAAAATCTTTATTAATTCATTAAACAAACTTTACCTGTTAATTGACTTAACTGTTTATTATATATTTGTTTATTATAAGGGGACGAAGTCCCCTCTTACGGTAGAAAAATCAATAAAATTATAAAAAAAAAAAAAAAAAAAAAAAATCGGGAAAAATTTCATTCTACTAATGAACTCAAAATCATTAACTTTTTTATTTTCAGACTTTTTTGTTTTCCCGCATTTGCGCAGAAATCTACTTCCTTTTTCCTGTCTCGTTTGCATTAGTCTTTGAGTAAAATATATATTTATCAGTCTAGTAAAATATAGGAAGGAACGCAATACCAATTTCATTTTTAATAATTCCTTGAATGGCTTGATATGAAAAACCGTTACCTGAAGATAGCGTTTCTTTGTTTACATTGAATATGACGTCATAACATAAATAACGTCACAACTAAAATCCCTAACAACAGAACCGAAATCGGAAACGTTACGGTATTTCCGTTTCTTTTTTTAACAGATTTTGAAGTTAAAATATGTTTTAATTAAAAAAAAAAATTCATACAGACTTCGTCCCCTTTCACAGGTAATGCCTGCCTCATATTAATCTCATTGCGTTTTACCTAAAGTCATAATTAAATTTGATTAAATTTAGAGTTAGTAATGTAAATTTAATTATGCCAATCTTCAACATTAGATGGATGCATGTTGTGAACTTGAATTGTCTATATAGAATGACTTATCTCCATGAATGGTCTGAGTTATCTTTTTGTAGACACTCAAATAATCATTAATATAGTCAAAACTTATTTTTTTAATACTTTGTCTAATCAAGTTGGCATTGTAAACTGTAGGGTGCAGGTCGTTTCGTAACCTGGTCGTTTCGTAACTAGTCGATTCGTAACTCAACTAGGTCGTTTCGTACCTGAGACGTTTTGTAACCATATATCAATATATAATAACAATAAGAGTAGTAGGTTACGTAAAAAATAATAAAAAGACTTATTGATGTATGTATATATATATATATATATACATCTACAAGTCTAAATTGAAAACAATTAACGTTCAAACCTATGATTGCATTGGATAAAAACCGCAATTTTTATACGTGTGCATGCAAAACAAATTTCTTGGTAGAGGGGTCTTAATACAACACAAACAACATTTTCCAAAAGACCAAATGAGTGAAAAAGTATATTTTAACAAAACGCATTTGACTAGCAGGTCGAACAACTGATGTACTTAAACCCTGCTGACTGCCATTGGCGATTGACAAATAAACGGATCACAAGATGTAACAAAATAGATCTTATTAGTAATTTATTACCAAACAGAAAACAATAAATTTGCGGAAAAGATGGTATACCGCAAACATGAGGTGCAAAAATTTGTACACCATATCCGGATTTCGACAATTAATGTCTCTTCAGTGATGTTAGGAATCGAAACGGTATTTGGAAGGCCATATAATTTACCTCAATTTAGGATATATCTATATTTATTTATTAGATAATTGATTGCACATAAATTTACACTTTACAAGTACAGTTTTGCACACATGCGAATAGAACAGAATTGTCCATCATCATTTAGATGTACTCCGTCTTTATCAAAGTATTTAGTCTTCTGCCTCCTGCTTTGATGTCTCCAATACTTGACACCACTCATCTTTATGTTGCTTAGTTCTTTATTTATCTTCTTTTTTTTCTATCATAAGTTGTTTCTTTCATATGTTTCTTGTTTTTAGTCTGACGATGTTGGAGCCTATAACTACAGAAGGAACACCTAAGCGCTTGACATCTTTTGCGAGTTGTACAATCTCTGATGCTGTGTGTGATGCAGATAATTTATCACAGATGTCATTCTCTCCAATCTGTATGAAAACAAAGTCTGGTTTAAATTTCTTCACTATGTGGAGATCAAAATGTCTCAATGACTGTACTTTTCTCCCGCCTACCCCGTGAAGCTTTGTTTCAACAGAACTTGATAAGTCGGATTGCGTTCTTAACATCCAATTTTCCAGTCTTCGGATGAAACTGTGACCGATCACAAGTACTTTGGGCTTATTTACTGTTAGTGACCTATTTGGCGTTTATAGATGAATGAAAAGGAGTAAAAAAACTGCTATTATACCATTAAGTGAACACTTGTCACTTACATTTATTTAATTTAACCACGCCTAGTAATTTATCAATTTAATTCAAATTAAATTTATTCAAAATATTTCACTACTGATTGCTTTTTTGTGTAGTTAAAAAACATATATCAGAAAGATTGATGGTCATTATAACTATATTAATTAAAATTCTTAAACTTTAAATAATAACTTTAACTTTTTCATTTAAACTAATTAATTTAAACTAACACTTTAAAACCATATATAATTACACCAGGTACGAAACGTCTCAGTTACAAAACAACGTAGTTACGAATCGACCAGGTACGAAACGACCAGGTTACGAAACGACATGCATTCAAACTGTAAAAGTGTACTTTATAAACAATTTTGATGACCTTCTAGACGGTCAGAGTTGTCTTCATAGACGGTCTGAGTTGTTTTCATACTCATAGACAGCCAGGCAGATCCAGGATTTTTGAAAGGGGGGTGGGGGAATTAATTTTTAGACATTTTATGCTAAAAATTCATATACATGTAGAAGGTGAAAAACGTGATATAATACATTTTTTGGGGATCAAAGGGGGATCTCTACACCACCCATTGGTTCCGTCACTGGACAGTCTGAGTTGTCTTTTTTGTAGATGGTCCCAGTTATCTTCGGGCAGAGTTGTAATGCACCCTTAACATTTGCAGTACATTAGGCCCCTATACTGAAAAGATTAAAAACATGAAAACATCTGGTATACAGAAATTAAAAAGGGGGTCCAATGTCATGATATATGATTGAAATAGGAAGACAATTACAGAAACATAGGCGTCAACAACTGTTTTGTACAGTGTTATGAAGTTTAGAGCATTCGTGTGAAAACTTTGGAGACTTTGAGCAGAATTATTATTGCAACAAACGAACTCCATTTCACTGCAGGAAAATCCTGGAGAGGAAATATTTTTTTATCTCTATAGAGAAGAGCTAAAATGTTTAATTTGGTGTCTTTCGGAGGTTTTCCTATATCTTTATTAAATCATTGCAACAGTTGTTAGCTCTTAAAAAAACTTGTCTGACTCGGTTGTAGCTATTAAATTTGATGTGCATTACAAGTTTAATTAAGGTAGGGCATGTTCTAATACAGGTTAAGAACTTCAGTTGAAGAAGGGTTTAGATTATATGCATATCTTAGTTAGGGGCTGACGAAAAGTCAGAAAAGAATATCACGGGAATGAGATTTTTGAAACATAATCAAATGATTTTAAATGAGATTAACTGATTTCGGGATTTATTTTAATCGAGATACAGGATTTACGTGTATTTACGTCCGGGAATTCGGGATTTTTATCTATCGGGACTCTTGTTTGAAAAAAAATAGCATTAGCTAACCCTTCCGGAGCACCAGGGTTTTCTCCTGGTTTTTGTAGGAGTTCGTGCATGATTTTTTAGTGTTCGGTGTTCAGTTTGTGATTGTTCCTTTTGTTTTGTACCCGCGTTTATTTGTTCAACGGTTTATGTTTTTTTTAATACTTGGATGTATTTGCACATTGTTTGTTTTATGGTTTTAAGTCTTTGGATTTCTCCGAAGATAGTTTTGTTCATCTTGGTCAAAGTTATAAATGTAAGAGTATTAAAAATTAGTAAACCAGAGGATATGATTTCACACAGAAAAAAACAGCATTTAAACAAGGTGCGGCCGTGATATTCGAATTTTTATCCTGATCGTTAGCAAGTATGTCTTAAACTGATTTGACATTCCAAGTTCATTAATTTATTGAATAACTTGACCGGGGCAAACTTTGACTGCCAGGCAAAAATAAATAAATTGTGTGTTTCCTATTTCATTAAACAAATAAATAGGTAGGGTAGGTTGTTAAAACATTTTATTTGATGAAAACATTTTATTTATATCAGAGACATATATACACTCTGATTTGTATCTATTGTTTTGGCAGTGAAAATCATGACATGTTATTATGTAGGGCCTCGTCGAACCTAACAATGTAAATGCCACCCATGGTACGTGTGGGCGCAGATAATTACCTCGTGAAAACATTGTGAACCCATGCTAAGCAGAGGTTGATAATGATTTTTCGAGGGGTAATAGTCTTCCCTTACACCCTCTTGATTTAACAGTTTAATATACAAAGATGTGTTTTGATGTTAGACAGAATGTGATCTTGAAGAGTGGGTGGTTCTGACAATATTAAAATTGCAAGTTTTGAGAATAGTGAGAATGTGAAATCTTCGTCTTTATATACTGGGCCTACCCCCTTAATTAGTATTTCAATCCCTCTTCAATCTGATCAAAGAAAGTTCTCCGCACTTGCTCCTCATTTTCGTTCGGTTGTTTATATTACTGCCCTTTGGCATGGCACTTTTGCTCGGAAACTAACACTAAAAAACTGGAGAAAGTGCAGGAACGAGCACTTCGTTTTGTCTATGACGATTACACCTCGTCATATTTGGAATTATTACAGAGAGCTGAGCTGTCTTCCCTACAGATCCGTCGTATCAGGACTATGGCATTGGAAACTTTCAAAATTCTTAACAATCTAGCTCCCTCTTATTAACAAACTAATTATTCTTTCAGGTATAGTAACATTTTGGATATTCCAAGGGTAAGAACTTCCTCTTTTGGTAAAAACTCTTTTCGTTTTGCAGCTCCTACATTATGGAATAGCTTGCCTGACCATTTCAGGACTGAAAATAACTTCTCCCAGTTTAAAAGCTTAAATCAGTCCTGGAATGGATCAGAATGTAGATGTAGTGCATGCAAGTAGTATTTTTTTTTAATTTGTTCCCATAGCTTTTAATTTTTTCATTTACTTTTTAGTTGCTAATAGTGCTTAATGATTTTGATTGCTTTGCATGGCTATTCTATTCATTTTATGTGTGCTTATATGTTCTGCTTATATATGTATGCTTTGATTGCCTTGCATGTATATCATATTCATTTCTATGTCTGTATGTGTATGTATATCTGTTTTATGTTATGTGTTTTGTTTTATATATTCGGTGAAAGGTCTCAAGAGCTTATGTTTGTATGTTTTAAACCATGCCGAATCAAAATAAAGTTATCTTATCTTATCTTATCTTATATGTCGTGCGTGGGAGATATAAACAACCGAACGAAAATGAGGAGCAGGTGTGGAGGATTAATTTTAATCAGATTGAATCCTATTATTGATTGCTATATTGGAAAATTTACTGAGAAGTAAAAAATTATGCTTTTTTTCTTCATCCAGGAGAGTATGTTGTTGGCATCTGTAAAGTTAAGATTCCTCCTTTTCGGTTCATATTCACTCGTGTCAGTCACAGGCACTTGTCTCTGAAAAAAAATATACCTATATACTTTAACCAGAGACACAGTGGCGGATCTAGAAATTTTCATAAAGGGGGGGGGGGGGGGCTCTGACTGCTATAAGAGGGGGCCCGCTCCAGTCATGCTTCAGTAGTCCCTAAATAATCAACCAAATTTTCCCCACAAAAGGGGGGGGGGGGCGGGCACCCTGGGACCCTCTAAATCCGCCTCTGAGACATATATACACGTGCATATATGTCTCTGGTCCGTGTAACACTTATCAATTCAAAATTTCAAAAAGTTTTCAAATTTTAGTTTTTTAGAATTTTGATCAAAGTTTTAAAATATCAAAATTCCAATTTTTTTATTTTTTTTTAAATTTTTAAAATTTCACCAAATAATTAAAATTTTAGAATTATAAACTTCGTTTTAAAATTTAATACTTTAGATATTTAAGCAAACTTTAAAAATACTAAACTGAGCGTGCAGTTTTGATCATTTCGCTTTTTAAAAGTTTGAATTTTTTGATTTTTGATTAAAATATAGGAAAGGGGGAAAGGACTAAAAAGTGGATACCTGTTACAAGCGCGAAACGGAATAAGAATGGAAGGAAACGAAATGAAATTTACCCAAACAAATCAAAACGAAAACAATATTTCCGAAAAACTAAATATAATAAAAAATACAAAACAAGAGGCTAACTTGTGGCCTACCGAATTACTTATTACCGGGTTTGTAATAACATGAGCAACACGAAGGGTACCACAAGTGGAACAGGATTTGCTTACCCTTCCGGGGCACCTGAGATCACCCCCAGTTCTGGTGGGATTCGTGTTGCTCAGTCTTTAGTTTTCTATGTTGTGTTTTGTGTACTAATGTTTGTCTATTGGTTCTTTTCTTTCTTAGCCATGGCGTTGTCTGTTTATTTTCGACATATGAGTTTGAATGTCCCTCTGTCATCTTTCACCCCTCTTGTTTGATCTACAGGGTGAAAAAGAGAAATATGTTTCTTTGAGTCTAAAAAATAATTAGTAAGACCTGATTTTTACACACTTTGATTATCTAACTAAATGAACAATATGCAGAAATTACTTGTCGACTTTGTGATTACTGCTATTTTTCAATAGCGAATAAAAGGAAACGGGATATTCGATTTTTGAAATAAGGGATAGTTCCGTATTTGTTATTTGCATTTTTGTAAGTTATCTTGCGACAATCAACTTTGAGCAAAATACAAGTACGCAGTCACGTCCAGTCAGAATAGGGCGTGTAGGGAGAGTGCCACGCTCTCTGCACGTTACGAACCTTGAGTTCTATAGTGAAGAACAATCTTATATATTCCCATGAAGTCACAAAATATATTTAAATATTGGTCAAATTTAACCTTATTCGATTTAATGTTAAATTTCTGTACTGAAAATATTTTACAATAACATTGCAGTATAACGATATATAAGAAATCTCTGGGTGCTTTTTAAAACGGTCTTAGGCACGGGATGTATAAAGACACACCCACGTTCATTTTGATCTTTTAAGAGGTTAAACTCCTAACTATCCTACTGCCTGTCGATACATTTATTTTTGGCATTGCACAAGTCATGTCTTCTTTGACTGTCCATGACTTTAAAATACTAAATCCCTGGGGTGTGTTTTAGTTGATTTTAGTCTCTGATGCATGATTTTTTTATTATTAATTGTTTTTGGCTTTTAACTAGCTGTCAGTAACTGCGAGTACTCTCAAATCGTACTTTCTTGTTTATTTGACCTGTTGATACTAATTGTAATTCTTTTTTGTTATTTAATTTTATTCAGGGTTATATCTGGTCTTTATACCAGCTTTGATAAGTGTTTGATATTACTATAAATTTTCACTTCGTACTATGAACATCAAAATTATCTATTTTGTAAAAATATTTCCTTTCTCTATTTGAACTGTACACGTATCGTATACCTAACAACAAAATTATTTTCATTTACCTGTGTTTAAAGTAATTGCAAATGGCTGATATTTTTGTTCGAGCATATTGTTTTTCTTAAATTGTTTAACATTTCATAGCGGTATAACATGTTACTTTTATTATTCTTCCCTTAGTTTATTTATTTTGTATTTACATTGTATCATAGGTCAAATTTATTTGTTCAGTGTATGTTCACTGGTGTTAATATGTCCTTTGATTGAGTTAAGCTATTTCAGTTGATATTTTATAGTGTGTCTTTCTATGTTGTGATGTTACACTATTGTTTCAGAAAAAGGGTGACGGTTTGGTACCATTAAAACGTTTAAACCCGCTGCATTTGTTTGCACCTGTCCTAAGTCAGGAATCTGATGTTCAGTAGTTGTCGTTTGTTGATGTGGTTCATAAGTGTTTCTCGTTTCTCGTTTTTTATATAGATTTGACCGTTGGTTTTCCCGTTTGAATGGTTTTACACTAGTAAGTTTTGGGGCCCTTTATAGCTTGCTGTTCGGTGTGAGCCAAGGCTCCGTGTTGAAGACTGTACTTTGACCTATAATGGTTTACTTTTATAAATTTTGACTTGGATGGAGAGTTGTCTCATTGGCACTCATACCACATCTTCTTATATCTATTTAGCACCGAGTACTGGAGATTCATAGTCTTTTCAATTCAATCTCGTGCTAA